GCTCCCTAGACACCAATCATGTATATAAGCAAAAGCGTTCCGGCACTCACCCAACAAAATATCATTGAATCACTATCTTACTCACCGTACAAACAGTGCGAGTCCCCGCTCACAAACGCTCACGCAAGACTCCCACTCCCCGCACCCTCAATGTGACATGCGCCGCCTTGTACGACAACGCATGCACAAATCTTTTGTTTCGACAACGACTCGAGCTCACGCTTCCAACCTCTGCCGCCCCAGGCATGAGTGGCTGTTCCAGACCACTGAGACGCTGGAATAACAACTGCATCTCACTGATCAGGGCCACCTAGATCTCACCGACGTTACACAGGATCGCAATCTGTGTGCCGCAGTGACCGCGCCTAACAACGCGTGCACTGATCTTGTGAGTCACACTCAAGTGTCGATACACTGACACTGTTGCACACAAAGCTTCACAGATTTCCTCAGCTCAATACCACTTGTGCCTAGGACGGCAGAGGTTGGAAGCGTGAGCGTGAGCTATTGCCGAAGCCAAAGATTTGTGCACGCATTGTTGTACAAGGCGGCGCGTGTCACGTTGAGGGTGTGGGGAGTGAGAGTCTTGCGTGAGGTTTGTGAGCAGGGACTTGCACTGTTTGTACGGTGAGTAGGCTAGTGATTCGATAATATTTTGTTGGATGAATGCTAGAGCGTTTTTGCTTATATACATGATTGGTACCTGGACAAGCAAGTGTTGTGAGCGACTAAGACACCAGCTCGCTTGCTGTAAGCTTCGCTGTACGCGTCCAGCTTGTCAGCTACGGCCGCCGACGTATCGTTGGGTGGCTGGCCATTTGGCGGACGTGATCTTGTATCATCCAATGAATGCAAAGATCCGTGAACGGATGTTTGCCCGCGCGCACTGGTTGCTTCCCGGGTTGCCGTGTCTGTGTCGGGACAACTTGATCCGCACGCTAGTGGCTGCACGCGGGTCCCAGGTTGTGCGCATGTTGTTCTCTTTGCCTTTGTGGTTGGTCGGTTGGGTCGTATCTTTGGCGTTTGATGTTGAGTGGTTGCCATTGTTTGCATAGTGAGGGAAATTGGGGTGGTTCCTGGCGCAAGTGGTTTTTACACAGGGAATTTGCCAGGAAGAGTCTAAAATTTGGGGCGCGACCCTGCGCCCTCAAATAAGGTTGCCGGTCCAAGGGTTCACCGGCTGGTCCCAAAGTTGCACCATTAATCCCATAACGCGTGCAAGCGTTATCTTAGTCGTGGGCTAAAGTGCTCAAAGTGTGAGATGTTTTGCTAATGTCAAGTCAACGGTCGGCTGGCGACAACCGTCGCCCGCACTCGGCCGATAACAACCCCCACGGCGCGCGGAAGCACCGTGGGCCCACTCCCGTAGAAAGACTCCGACCCTCGCGGCGCGCCTACGGCTCCGCAACCCACGCTCCCTATCCGACAAGTTCTTCTTACGAGGGTTGCCTCCGGACCCTCGTCACATGTATTACTTAGTTAGCTTATGGCAACGCAGTAGTGTGCTCTGACCCCCGGCGTGATACCGCCAGCCTACGACCTCTCCGCTCCCGCCGACGTTCAACCCGACCGTAGCCGCCACGCGGTACCTAGAACCTACGGTCCTAGTACGGAGTTACCGGCAACTCCAAGGGAACATGCTGGAGCAGCTAAGTGGGATAATGGGTTTACCAAGGCGAGCTGATTGGACCACAGCCCAGAAAGGTGATTGCTTGCTCCCCCAGCAGGACAAAAGGGAATGCTGCGGATTGCCGCAGTATTTACACAAGGTGAAGGAACTCTGACTCAATTACCAAGGAGAACGCACACACAGACGGAAAGCCAACAGGCAACCAATGTGGGCAACAGAGGAGTCACCGGGAGGACAAAGTCATCCTCCAGGAAACACAAACAAACATGTATATAAACAATAGTTGACCAAACACTCTGTTTGAGTCTCCTTGTCCAATTCACCATACTTGATTTGTATTACCACTAAAGGTGAGAGTTCTCCTTGTGACACTTGTCCCAAGGCAGCGTTCTCCCAGGCGTATGCAGTACTACCCCAAAGACTGAACCACTTGGCCACGTGGCGCAGACACCCCACTACAGAAGCTTGATACGGCCCGCTCGCAAGCGTTTGGAGCTGCACAAGCGATGGAGGCAAATCATGGCAGACATCAAGAACCTCGTCAAGGAGGTCCACTGCCGCACCGCCCACTTCCTTGCCCTCTCATCCGACGTCATTGTCATGCCACGCATGGAGGTGCTTGAAGCCGCCTCAAGATCTTGACCAAGGTCACTCGACTTTTGTCAATCATCTGGCCATCAAGTGCCACAACATTGCATACAATGCAGGCTTCCCCCACAAGGCTGGCCATCCCACGCTGCTCTTGGTCCAGCCAGAGGCCAGCACCTCCAAAACCTGTGGCGCCTGCGGCAGACTCAACGACAGGCTTGGCTTGCAACCAGACTTTCTTTGCCCCTACCAAGACTGCGCTTACACTACCGGTCGCGACCACAACGGTGCATACAACATGATCATCAAGGCTATCCGATGAGCCACTCCATTGTCATCATTCACAGCTTGCGCCCACAAACAACCATCATTTTCTGCCTCCTCCCCCCTCCCAACGGCCTTATACAGAGGGCCTCGAGAGACAAGTTTGCTTGTCCTTTGCCGCAACAGCTTGTCTGGCGATCACCAGAGTAAGAGCTTAGGTCTCGATATTTTACTGTAGTATCCCCCACCCTGACGATCAAAGAAGAGCATGCAGTCACTTGATTGGCGAGCTTTGCGGATAAGCTTGTACCCGCACAGGTGGAATGAGTTCTTCAGACTTGCTAGGGTCAAAACAAAAGTGAGCTGAAACGCAGATTCCCACCTGTGGGAGCCTAAGCCTAACTCAGCCCACCAAGAGTCAATACCTTAGGACTGGTTCCGCGCGACTTGATGACCAGATACAAACCAGAGAGCTGCTGAGAGCGCTCAACAGTCTCGGATCAGCGGTGTCGAGCGTCAGGCAAAGGCACGGCGGTCCGGGGCCCTGTCAAATGCGGAGAAGCAGGTGCGGCAGCGTGACGCGCGTCTCGCTCCCAAAAAATCGCAGCGTTGGGGAAGTGCGGAGTTGTTGCGGCTCGCTTTGACTCCAACCATGCTCTTGCGGGAGCAGCTTGAACGCCGGATCAAGCGCCGGCTCTGAGCCGCTTCGAGCAATCACTGCGCCTCCGTGTGATGCATTTGCTGAGAGTCGTGTCGGACCCAGGGATCAGCTGTGGCCAAAGCGTGAGCAGAGTCGGCAGCCCGCTGTTCTTCTCGGTGATCACGGACCCACACCAGTACGAAGTCAAGATGCTGTTACTGCCCGGAGCATGCGAGAGAAAGAATGTCGGCGTCATTCCGTACGTGAGCTACGCCACCCTGGGATACGGCTTGACCTTCAAGCAAAGTCAAAGATAGCTAGGTCACATCAAGAGGCCGTAAGCAGCCAGCAAGGGCCTGATGACCGAGACTGGCCCGCTTCGCTTCACAGCCATGTGACAGCACACACGTTACGCCACTAGTGTGTGAACGGAGCGAGAAAGCTCAGATCAGCGATAAGGAGAGCTCTAGCATTCCCTGGCCGCGTGGGTCTGAGTCAGGAGATGGAATTTCCGACCACTGACATGTCCGATAAAACGATCTCCGCGCTGTCCTGCCGTACAACGTGGCAGCCAGAATGTCACTTTTTGGGGCGTCTGATCTTCTCAGATGACCTTGCTGTCCAAAAACGCCGATGCTCGCCTCCCGGACGGACCACCCGACCAAGGCTGGCTGGAGACAGGCCATTCTGGCTGGGCTCAGTCGGATCATGCCATCTTCGCCTCACTTTCTGCCTGCAGCCCTGCAGCAACAAGCGCAGGCGAGTCGCCACGACGAAGCAGAGCGCGAAAGCAGTCACGACATTTCGCCTCGAGATCCCCGGACCGTATCCGCTCCGTCACAGCGCGCTGGTCTGGCATATAAACCGGCACTGGTCCGATTGCCCACACTATGCCATGACCAGAGCATCCACCTCAATCGTCCTACATAATCAAATCCTGTCTTGCCTGCCATCTTTCATACACCCTATCGACTGAACCTCACCCTCTCGCGCCACCCCTTTTCGTCATTATCAACCGTCTTCTTCGACGCACTATTCAGCCCAGTATGAACCCTATCATTCGCAGAGCCTTCTCGTCGCGATCGGCCATCCGCGCTCCTCCTGCTCCCAGCTCATCTACGCTGCCCCTTGCAAGCGCCCCAAGGAGCAGCGTCGTCCGTCCCGGCCGTGTCGCCATGCTGCCCAAGACAGCCGAGCCCGCCTCGGTCTCGGGCCCTGTCAGCCACGTTAGCACTACCGCCCAGAGCTTTGACACCACCTCCCAGGACGTCTTCCCCCAGGTCGGCTCTGTCTCGGTCCCCGGCGAGGAGCCCAAGGTCCTCCGCGTCGGAGAGAACCACTAGGCAGATCCTGCCCACAACTCCGCCCACGTAGAACCCTGATTGTGGCTCTGCGGTTCGAGCGGATACGCCTCTGTCACCACGCATTTCGTCTCTTTCACGGACTCTTTTGGCTACCTCTCGTTCTCTCACAGTAATGCATGTTGCGCTCGTCAACCTTGTTCTCCTCTTTGGCTTTAACCTGCCGTGTCTCGCTAGCTTCCGTGGCTGACAATCCGACTGGCTTGAAAGCTCGCCCGACGAGCTCGACAAAGTCAGACATTCGAGTGAGCGCATTGGTCGTGCGAAAAGTGGATGGCTGACAGCTTCAAATCACGATTGAAAATGAGCTTCAGCGTCTACTACAGATGAGGCGACAGGTTCTTATGCATGTAGGCATCACTGGGCGTACATCTCCTTGATGTGTCGGGAGATGATGAGCCTCTGGATCTCAGAGGTGCCCTCGTAGAGGCGGAAGATGCGCGCGTCGCGGTAGAGCTTCTCGACGGGCGACTCGGTGTTGAAGCCGAGACCGCCAAAGATCTGGACGGCGGCGTCGACGTTGAAGCCGGCGGCCTCGGAGGCGCGTGCCTTGGCCATGGAGGCGTAGAAGGAGTTGCGCTGACCCTGGTCCTTGGTCCAGCACGACTTCCACACGAGGTTGCGCGCCGCCTCGACGTTCATCTGCATGTCGGCGAGCATAAAGGCGACGGCCTGGTGGTCGATGATGTGCTTGCCCATCGTCTTGCGCTCCACGGCGTACTTGGCAGCCTCCTCGAGAGCGCGCTGGGCGAGACCGACGGCACCGGCAGCAACCAGAGGACGCGTGATGTCGAATGCACCCATGGCAGTCTTGAAACCGTCGCCGGGCTTGCCGAGCACATTCTCCTCGGGCACGACGACGTTTTCAAACGTGATCATGCGCGTGTCCGAGCAGCGCTGGCCCATGTTGATCTCCTTCTTGCCGACGTGGATACCAGGCGTGTCGGCATCGACGACAAAGCCGGTCATCGACTTGGCGGCCTTGGCGCTGGGGTCGCTCTTGGCGAGCACAAAGTACCAGTTGGCCTTGCCACCGTTGGTGATCCACATCTTGGTGCCGTTGATGACCCACTTGTCGCCCTGCTTCTCGGCCTTGGTGGCGATGTTGGCGACGTCCGAGCCGGCGCCGGGCTCGGTGACACAGTAGGCAGCCATGAGGGGCTCCTCGGTCATGCGACCGAGGTACTTGGCCTTGGTGGCGTCCGAGGCCGAGACGAGGAGGGGAGCCTCTGCGAGACCGTTGGCCTCCATGGCGGTCTGGATACCGGTGCATCCGTAGGCGAGCTCCTCGGAGATGAGGCCACATTCGACGAGGCCAAGGCCGGGGCCGCCGTACTTCTCGGGGATGTGCGTGTTCATGAGACCGAGCTCCCAGCCCTTCTTGAGGATCTCTGTGGGGTACTCCATTGTCTGGTCGTGGTGGCGGGCCTGAGGGATGATCTCTTCACGGGCGAACTTGCGCGCGAGGTCACGGTAAGCCTCCTGGTCCTCGCTGAGGCCGAACGAGACGCCATTGCTCTCCACGGGTGTGGAGTAGGCTCGGGCGGCACGGGAGGCGGTGAGCGCGGCCTTGTTGGCCGAGGTGATGGTGCGGCTGCTGCTGGCAACAGCCCTCTTTGCGAAGAGAGACATTTTGGATAGAAAGGTGTGTGGGTGGTGGGAAAGGATGTGGCGGGGGAGGATGTGGTAGCGCGAGAAGGAAAGCGGTGCCAAGTCTGCGGGAGTGTTGAGCCGCTTGTTGCCTCCTCGTTGCGAGGCGGGGCTCCTCTTGGCTGTGAGCGCGGCAGCCTCCGGAGCGTCGGGCATGATTTGCGCCCGGCTCGAGAGGTGCGCTCGCCTCGCCAGCGTTGAGTTTTTCGACGTTGCGTCCGCGCGAGCCGGTGTCTGGCTGAGGCTTCTTACCGAAGCAGCCCAACTCGTGCATTTCACGCGCGACCGGGCGACTATCCCTGGGGGGCGGACCCCTGATCACCGATACTGTTCCCGATGCTTCTTGATCGCAAAAATTTGAAAACGAGGGTCTAACAATTTTGCGCTTCTTCCAAAGTGACAGAGCCCGAAACCAACAGGAGGAGTCGACGTGGCGGTAAAGGGACGGCGCGCGCACACCCGCCAAACCACGCAAGGGCCAGGGCCAGCCGACAAGGTTTCGGCTCCGCTTAGCCTCACTTGCAGTGCCGCTGCAGTTGCACTTTTCGAGAGGCTGCTCGAGCGCACGCCCCCTCCCCGTCACGGCGCTACCCGTTCCCACCGTGCCATCACCTGCAGCATCGTCTCAACCACCGCCGCGCTCGCAACTCAACCACACACAGGTGCTCACCCCACAAACACTCATATCAACATGTCGACCGGAACGTTTGACGCCAACAAGGCGCAGAACCTGCCCGAAATCGAGAAGCAGATGGCCGTCCGATGTGTCGAGCACGCTCAGACCTACTGGAACCTGTTGGAGAAGATCAAGCCCTCGTCCCTCCGCTTGACAAAGTAGGTTCTACCCGCTATGATGGCGAGCGCTATGAGCACTCTCTCTCGAGTGGCCGGAAGCTGACCCTGTCCCATTGCGTTGCACCTCGGCAGACTCGACGATGAGATGTACGAAGACTTCCAGGCCACCTTCCCAGAATTCGCAGAGTCGGCCGACCCCAAGTCCGTCCTCAAGGTCGACGAGGAGGCCATGAAGAGCCCTGCAGGCAAGGAAAAGTGGCGTGTCTTCATCAACAAGTACGAGAACAAGGGTGAGCATTTGCACCGAACCGGCCTCAACAGGTCCTCATTTCGGCCTCGTGTCGCGGGCTCGCTCGCCTTTCTGAGCTTGCCGTCCACGTGCACGATCTCCCAGGACGTAAGACTGACTCTATTCCTATCTGTCTTTCTGCGCTTTCACCAGTCGCCGACTTCAACTTTGGTACCTTGATTCGTACCGACGCCTCCGACGAGTACACGCAGTTCAATACCACCTTCGGTAAGTCTTGCACTCTTCTTCCAACACCAGTCGCTCTTGCCGTATCCTCGCATCGATCCAAAGCTGACCAGCTGCCCTTCACTATAACGTCCCGACCAAACAATGCACAGTCACGCGCCTTCAGTTCTACGTCTACGAGATCGCACGTTGCCGTCGCGGCCTCAACGACTGGGTCTACGAAAAGGCCCAGAAGGAGGCTGCCAAGGAGAAGGCCAAGAAGGCTGCTTCCAGCTCCAAGTGAAAGCCAGCATCCTTCGCTCCAGCATCGAGAGCGGTTGTCCCTCGTCAGCTTCTTTCCTGAATACCACCCCAAAAACAGACACGATTGAGTCGTCTTGCACATTGGCTGCACATTGGCCCTCCTGTTGTGTCGTATGCGGAGCCCGTCCACTTCGGCCTCGAGTGAGCTCGCTGATCTGTGCGTAGATGCAGGACGTCACATCGTGTGGTGGCAGCACATGCGACTCGAGGCGAACGTAAGGAGGCGGGAGAAACGGGAGAGCGTGAGCACCTAAATTCGGGTGTTAGACCTATGTCAGGGACGCAATTTTCGGAAAACCCTCGCAGAAGGCGGCGTTGGCCGTTCCGGACTTCTGAACGGGGAATTAGACGCCGAGCATGGACCTGACCTGCCAAATGTGGGGGGCCGAGAAGCTGGTGGTGGTGGTGCCGAGCCCCGCACCCAACCAGCACTCTGCCGCCACCAGAACCACTTGACCGACCAACCCGACCGTGGCCCATCATCCAGAGTCAGCTCCAGCAAAGCACTCACCTGCGCTCGCACTCAAAAGGCGACCGTCTCTCGAACTTTTCTTCTCTTCCATCAACATCCCCCTTGTCCTTTGTACGGTCTGCAAGATGGTCTTTGCACGCCGTTTCTCCGCGCGCGCATTTGGCGCAGCCCGCGGCCCGTCCACGTCCGCTACTTCGTCCACATGCCGTCTTTTGACCACCTCCGCGCCGCGCCAGAATGTCTCCGCTCCAAACACTGGCAGTGCGTCCGGCAGCGCCTCGGCAACCGCGGGCTCGTACCGCAATCTTGCACTTGGCCTGCTCGCAGTTGGACTGGGAGCCAACGCATACTACCTCTCCCAGCGTGACAGCAAGCTTCAACTCGACGGACCCAAGGCGGTGATCAGCAGCGGCGAATACTCGTACAGCAATCCGCAGCTGCCGTTCGAGTATGGAAGCAAGCAGGACTTTGAGGCGGCGATCGAGGAGCTCAAGGCCTATTTCACCTCGCAAGGTGAAGCTTGGGACGACTTTGTTACCACGGACGAAGACGAGCTCGAGCGCCGCGGTCTGGACGAGAACGGCCACCGCAGCTCGTCGGAGGGCACCAAACCTTCGGTGGCGGTGTATGTGCGCGACACTCCGGATGTGCAGCAAGTGATCCGCATCGCGAACAAGTATCGCATGCCCATTGTGCCCTTCTCTGGCGGAACGAGTCTGGAGGGCCACTACATTGCGCCATTTGCGGGCATCTCGATCGACATGAGCCGCATGGACAAGGTGATTGCCTTCCACCCGGCCGACGGCGACATTGTGGTGCAGGCGGGCATTGGATGGGAGACGGTGAACCAGTACTGCGCCAAGAATGGCAACCAGCTCTTCTTCCCGCTTGATCCCGGCCCAGGCGCTACGATCGGCGGCATGATCGGCACGGGCTGTTCGGGCACCAATGCGGTGCGCTATGGCACTGCGCGTGGCGAGCACTTTCTCGACATGAAGGTGGTGCTTGCCAACGGCGAGATCATCTCGACGCGCGGCGGCGGACGTGCACGCAAGTCTTCGGCGGGCTTTGACATTGGCAAGATCATCGTGGGTGCCGAAGGCACTCTGGGCATTGTCACCGAGGTGACGCTTCGACTGGCGCCCAAGATGCCGTCGGACGCAGTGGCCGTGGCGAGTTTCCCGAACGTGGAGGCGGCATCGCAGACGGTGAACGAGATCCTGCTGTCGGGCGTGCCCGTGCAGTGCATCGAGTTGCTCGACTACAAAATGATCCAGTCGATCAACGAGTCGAACCTGTGCGGCCGCAAGTACGACGAAAAGGACTCGCTCTTCTTCAAGCTGAGTGGAGGCGAAGCGGCGGTGGCCGAAGCCAAGGAGGCCATCACTCGCGCGAGTGTCAAGTTCGGTGCGCGCCGCGAGAGCGTCGAGTTCGAGACGGACAAGGAGCGAGCCGCCAAGATCTGGGAAGGGCGCAAGGCTGCACTGTGGGCGGTGGCTGCTACCAACGAGGCACCGGGTGTCAAGGTGTGGACCACCGATGTGTGTGTTCCCATCTCGGCACTTCCCAGGCTCGTGCGCGAGTCGCAAAAGGACTTCCAAGAATCGGGACTTACGGGAACGGCCATCGTCGGCCATGCGGGCGATGGAAACTTCCACGCGCTCATCCCCTTCAACGCATCGGATCCCAAGGAGCTCCAAACCACCACCGAGGTGGTCGGAAGACTATGCGAGCGCGCGCAGAAGCTCCAGGGCACGTGCACGGGCGAACACGGCGTGGGCATGGGCAAGATCGAGTACCTCGAGAAAGAGCTGCCCGCCGCCACCATCCGCGTCATGAAGGCCATCAAACTCGCACTCGACCCCAACAACCTGCTCAACCCCGGCAAGCTGTACCCGCACCCTGCCGCCACCGCGTCGTCGTAGACCCTCATCGCAATGTCCCCGGTTTGTAGTAGAGCCCGAAAGTACAGTGTCAATTTCAAAGAAGAAAAACGTGTTGAGACGTCGAAAAGGTGCAAGCGGAATGTACGCGGGGAGATCAGTGGTGGAAGAGACGCAGGTTGGTCCTGACGACGACCATGTTGTACTTGTTGGCGGTGGCGACGCAGGCGTCGTCCATGACGGAGCCGCCGGGGGCGACGATGAAGCTGGTGCCGCTCCTCTTTGCGCGGTGGACATTGTCGGGGAAGGGGAAGAAGGCGTCGCTGGCGCAGACGACGCCCGTGAGCTGGTCGGCGTGCTGCTTGCGCTCGTCGGCGCTGAGCGGCGCAGGCACCTGCTCGAACACGGCCTCCCACTCGACCTTTTCTTCGGCCGAAAGGTTCTCGGTGCCCTCGACAAAGAGGTCGATGGCGTTGGACTTTTCGGGACGCTTGGTGCCCTTCTTGAAGGGGAGGCTGAGCACGCGCGGGTGCTGACGCAGCCAAAAGTTGTCGGTCTTGCTGCCGGCGAGACGCGTGCAGTGGATGCGCGACTGCTGGCCCGCACCGAGGCCGATGACCTGGCCGTTCTTGGCGTAGCACACCGAGTTGCTCTGGGTGTACTTGAGCGCGAGCGTGGCGACGAGCAGGTCGAGCTGCGACTGCTCGGGCACCTCCTTGTTGTCGGACACGATGTTGGTGAAGAGATCCTTGGTGATCTTCACGTCGTTGCGGCGCTGCTGCAGCTGGACGCCGTACACGGTGCGCGTCTCGATGTCCGACGGCTCAAACTGCGGGTCGATCTGCAGGACGCAGTACTTGCCGCCCTTCTTCTTGGAGAGGATCTCGAGCGCCTCGGGCTCGTACGCGGGCGCGATCACGCCGTCGCTCACCTCGCGCGAGATGATCTTGGCGGTCTGCACGTCGACGGGGTGCGAGAGGCCGATAAAGTCGCCGAAGGACGACATGCGGTCGGCGCCGCGCGCACGCGCGTATGCGGTGGCGAGGCCCGAGAGCGCGCCGAGGTCGTCGACGAAGAACGCCTTGGCCTCGAGCTCGGTGAGGGGCACGCCGACGGCGGCACCGGCGGGCGAGACGTGCTTGAAGCTCGCGGCGGCCGGCAGGCCGGTGGCCTCGGCGAGCTCGCGGACGAGCGCCCAGGCGTTGAGCGAGTCGAGGAAGTTGATGTAGCCGGGCGAGCCGCAGAGCGCCTTGACGGGCATCTCACCTGCAGTGACAAAGGCCTGGGCGGGCTTCTGGTGCGGGTTGGCGCCGTAGCGGAGCGGGAGCTGCTGGACGACGTCGGTGGAGTTGGAGGCGAGGCTGGCGTACTGCTGGCGGTAGTAGTTGCTGATGGCGTCGTCGTAGTGGGCGGTCTGGGAGAAGGCCTTGACGGCGAGCAGGTTGCGGTTGGCCTTGGCGGCGTCTGCGTTGGAGCTCTTGTAGTTGTCGAGGAACTTGGCGTAGTCCTTGGGGTCGGAGAGGACCCACACGCGCTCGTGGTTCTTTGCGGCGGCGCGGAGGAGGGTGACGCCGCCGATGTCGACCTCCTCGGTGGCCTGTGCGATGGAGGGCTTGGGCTCCTTTGCGATGGTCTCCTCGAAGGGGTAGAGGTTGCAAACGACAACGTCGATGGGCTCGATGCTCTGCGCCTTGAGGTCTTCTACGTCGGAGGGCTTGGAGGTCTGGGCGAGGATGCCGCCGTGGACGGCGGGGTGGAGGGTCTTGACGCGGCCGCCGAGCATCTCGGGAGCCTTTGTGATGTCCGAGACGTCACCGATGGGCAGACCGGCCTCGCGGACGAGCTTGGCGGTACCTCCGGAACCGAGCAGACGGACGCCGAGGGCGTGGAGGCCCTTGGCGAGGTCAAGCAGGCCGGTCTTGTCGTAGACCGACAGGATGGCGATGGGTTGAGAGGCAGACATGGTGCAAGTCTGTGCGGGGGAGGGTGAGGGATGGTGGTGTGAAGGGATGGCGAAGCGGCTCGAGTCCGAGTCGAATAGCAGATGCCCGGTCAACGCACCGACGGACTGCAGGCGGATTGAGCGGGGGAGAGGAAGAGGCTCTGGGGTTGGTTTGGGGTGGAGGTCTGGAGCAGTCTCCTGCGGGCTCTCGTTGGTCGGATTGGAAATTTCCCCTCGTTTGTGGGTCGAAGCAACTTTTTTTTGCACCCGCTTTCTTCTTCCTGTTGGGCCCGACTGACTCGGAATCAGTCGCGCGCCTTCGGTTGTCCGTGCGTCGAAAGCGGCTAGGCAGAGATAGCTCGTGGAAGTGCGCCAATCAGATCGGGCACGTTTGCCACCCCGCTACAGCGATTGAAGGCAGCCGGCCTCCCCTGTCTGCCATGGCACATCCTTAGCTGGGGACCGGCGTGTGAGCCTTGGATCGACCATCTGCCCATGCAGCATCTGTTCGGCTTTGTTCAGGCTGGATCTGGCGATACAGTATGACCGACATTAATCGCCTTCATTTTCGGTGGTCTATTTTTTGCGGAATGGAGTGGCGAGAAAGCTAGCTGAAATTCCCAACGCCTTTCTTCCGAAGTGGCGATTTGTCATGCGTTGTAAGCTAGACCGCCCGATGCACCCCGATCTCTACGTGAGCCACGCGGCTCCGGCCCGGCTTCAAAGCGGGCGAGCCTTGTGCGCCCACATGGTCGCTCGGACACCACTCAACTCACTGTCGACCTCGTCGCTGAAGAGACCCGAGGTTGCCCCGAGGATGAGGGCGAGTCTGGAAGAAATCGGGGGGCTGTCTCACAATCTCGCAAAGTGAGACATCGGGCGCTGAGTTGATGTCCAGTAAGTGATGGCACGCCAACAAGATCTGGGGTGCCATCTTGTCACGAACACAAATCGACCGATTGTCCATCGATCCCGCTCGCATTGGGAGGCAAGATGGATGACGAGCACGAACGAGCAAGAGAGAGAGAGAGGAGATGTTCAAAGCGTGCCGAAACAGGCACAGGCACGTCCGGCGTCTTTTTGGAAGTGAGCTCCGCGCGCCGGACCTGCAAAGGCGGAGGGAGGGCAGCAGGAAAGAAAGGAAAAGGAAAAAGAAAGCTTCGGCTGCAGATCGATCGACAGATGCTCGACCGCGAACGTCCACATGCTCGCCAATCCCAATTTGAATCGCAGCATGCCGAGCGCCAATTGCGCAGGCTTTCAGACTTTTTGTATTGGCCGCCTCGGCGGCTCGGCCCCACGGCTGTTGTGAGCCGTGCCGCCGCCAAAGTTGCCGCTGTCACCGAAATTGGCAGGCACCCCCCCTTTTCAGAGCAACAAGCGAACCGAGTGGTTGTGCCTTTGTGCCTTTGTGCCTTTTTCGGTTGCCTCAGCCCTACGCCACAGTGCTCCTGAAGCCTGATGCGAGCTGCCGATCGCATGGTGTACTGTCACCTGTGATGCGAGCTCGCTTGTGCTGTCGGCATCCCAGCAACGCACAATCAAGACGGGCTTCGATCTTCGCATGTTCTTCCACTCGAGTCCGCAGCACGAAAATCAAACTCCCTTGATCCCCTTTCCCCGGAGAGCATGTGGCCAGGCGGGCGGCGGCTGAGTCTCAGCAATGAATGCTACGGCTGGACAGAATGTTCCCCCGGCCCCTGTGCTATTGTTCCTGTCTCGAATGGTGCAAACGTGGTCGATGTTGGTATGGTCAGGATATGCACCGGGAATCCAAGCGAGCCGCATCGGCCTTTCACCTCGATACGCCCGTCGTTGGCTTCCCATTTCATTTGCGCTGCACCTGAGCTGCAAGTGCCCACACATACCTGCAGCTGGTCACCCGCTTGCCGCCGGCCACGCCGCTTCGAATCTTCGAAATCGTATCGTGACGCCATCGAGAACATTACACCCCGACTTCGCTCTTTCGATCCTAGCCAAGCGCGGGAGCGCTGCAACGGGGCTTCTGCGAGCTTCGTGTTGATAGCAACGATCGAGCGAAGGGACAAGCCAAGCGAGGGGGAGAAGTTAGTGGCGGATGCACACAAACAATGGACGCCGCACTGCCAAAACTTCATCTGCACAACGCCGCCAAAAATGAAGCAAAGACGTGTGAATGAGGCGGCCCACCGCCTTCCCTTCCCTTCCCTTTGTGCTTTCGCCCTCCTCTCCCCTCGCCCTATCGGTACCTCCGCTCCTTGCCTCCTTCACTGTCCCTTTAACCACATCCTCCTCTCCGTCCTATCCTTTCCGCTCCACCTAGACGACTTGTTCCTACCCCGTCTTAAGCGTACTCTGGCCAGTACTGCCTATACCGTCCTTTCGTCCTACCACCGACACCCACCGCTGTGGCTTCAGTTCAAACCCGCACCAACCACATCATCATGAAGTTCACCACGACCGTCCTTGCACTTCTTTCGGCAGCAGCTGCTGTCTCGGCCACCGTGGACACCAACGAGTCTGGTCTGCACGTCCTTGGCGAGCGCTCGTTCGAGCGCAAGGCGCGCCACGTCGAGCTGTCCGCCCGCGCCGTCGACTCTTCCTCTCCCGACCTTGAGTCTCGCGACTGGGTATCCAAGTCCGGCAAAGTCACCTGGTACGCAGGCGACCAGCTCGACAACCCTGCCTGCGGCGGGCCTACCCCCACCGACAACTCGGCCGTCGTCGCCGTCAAGAAGAACGGCGGTTACGGCAAGTGCGGCGAGACTGTCCACCTTCACTACAACGGCAAGATGGTGTCCGCCAAAATCGTCGACTACTGCGCCGGCTGTGAATGGGGGCATTTCGATGCGACTCGGTCTGTCTTCAAGAAGCTTGCACCGCTCAGCCAAGGTGTTATCGAAGGAATCCACTTCAAGCTCTTCACCAAGGACTAGACGAGGAGGTGTAGGACGAACAAGCCGATGTACACAAGGCGGTGTATGACAGAAGTGGGAGCGAAAGCCTCCTGCATAACCCCCACTCCTTCCCGGCTCCCGGCTCTCCATTTCATTTCCACCCACCGACAAATCTTCAACCCCGCTTCGGATCCCTCCAAACGTCACCGGAAAACCTTCAACGCCTTTCTCCATTTCGCTTCCACCTTTCGCTGTTTCGCTGTTCCACTGTCTTGCTTTCTTTTGTATAGCTCCCCTTTGGAGGGATGCTTCGATGTGCGCACCCACCGGAGAGGTGCGGCTGTGCCGCGAACTACCCACACGTCTACTGCGTAGACGTTCTTTCTTTTTCTGTATCTTGCTCACCCCTAATTTTCGAGTTACGCTTTTCTGTCCACGTCCAAGGTGTGAGAGTGTGATCAGAGGTCAGCAAGTCTTGGTGTTGAGAGTGTCGTCGAGAAGAGAACATCCCACGCCCAAGTCGACGAGCGCCAAGTCGGTGAGAAACAAGACCTCCCAATGTCAAACTGAATCGCCATCACCTCCTCACTCCTACGCTTCATTCGCGCGACGCAACCCGAATCTAGACCCACCGCAGCGAAAAGACGCAATGCTAAAATGCCGTTGTTCGAAAATTGCAATGTGTGTATGTGTGTGTGTATGATGCAGTGTGTGCGAATCTAATGTGGATGCTACGAATGCAAATGCCGAGGCACGGCACCTTCTGCCGTGCGTGATGAAAGTTCAATGGTCGTCGTCAAAGTCGCTCGAGTGGATCGAGTTGCCGCAGTCACATCGGTCGCGCTCGTCATGCGCATGCCCACCACCGCCACTTCTCCCTCCATACCCGCCATACCCGTCCGACCCTGCCGTACTCGCATGGTCGTGTCCACAGCACGAGTGCCCCGCCTGTTCACTCTGCCCATGATCATGATGACTCGTCGCAGCAGTGCGCTCGCTCGCCGCCTTCGCCCCCGCAGCCCGCCCTTTGCCCTTGGCCCTAGCTTTGCCCTGCACAAGCTTCTTGCGGCTCCGGCACGCACGCAGCATGAGCGGCGTCTCGCCATAGTACAGCTCGTACTCGCAAAACACACAGATCCAGTCGTCGGCAGTGAACAACGCCGAGCCGGTGCCGTGCGCACGCGACGACCCGTGCCCGTGCCCGTGCCCGTGTCCGTGCCGACACCCGGAGCCGTGCTGGTGCGCAGGCTCGGCTGCTGCTTTGCGCGGCGCGTTCCGCCGTCCCGCCGCTGCCTTCGTCTTGCCAGCTGTCGTCCGCGGCTCTGCCCGTGGTGGTGCTGCTTGCGAGGTGGGAGGCGGCGCCAGTTTGGCTTCGCGAGCGATTGCAGGGCGCGGCGAGGAGCGCGCGAGTCGGGCGTCTGTGTCGGCTTGCTGCTGCTGGTACGTCAGCGCGCCTTGCACCCACGGCGGAAGTTCGTCCCACGCCAGCGGCTCGCGCTGTCGCGACTCGGATTGTGCACCTTGCGGCGCGGACACGGTGCCACTGTGAACAGCAGGCGGCGCCTCGATGGGCGCCGGCACGCCGCCATCGGCCGAGTGAAACAGGTTGCGGGTGGCCGCATCGAGCTGCGAGCGCACCTCGCGCAGGCGCAGCGAGACCGCCGAGGCCATGCGGAACTGGAACTTGCCCGCCGGCGGCACCACGCCAGGCTTGACCTGTTCCACGTGCTCAACTGGCCGGGGCACAGGCTCGGCACTCGAGCGCGACGGACGTCTGCTGGTCCGACCTTCGGCTTTGGACGGCGCTCCGGCCTTGGAAGGTGTGTCGCGGCTGTTGATGCGCTCTGCTGCGGGCGAGACTGCACGGCGTTGCGGCGAGGCTTGCGGGCGCGGCGATGCTTGCAGTTGCGACGAATCCTGGTTGCTGGGTGCACTGCCCGAGGCGGCGGCAGCTGCGGTTCTGGCGCGGATCTCTGCGATGGTGAGTGGTTTGACGGACGTGTTTGCGCCGCGAATGGCCTGCGCTCGTTTTCCGGCCTTGGAGATGCGCTTGGGCGGCATGCGCCGCTCTGGCGAGTGGGATGCTCCTTGGTCGGGCGGAGCGGGCGTGGACGGATGAGCATGTGTGGCTCGTTCTGACAACTCTCGATGCGCGCGCGCGTCTGCTTCCAGCATGTCGAGTCTGCGCTTGAGGATGGCATGGGAAAGGCGAAGACGGATCCTGCTGCGCAGCAGAGTGCGGCGGTGCTCGCCTGCCGAGCGCCGTGGGGGCAGGCGCAAGGGTGAAGCACTTGGTTGTGCTTGTGTGCTCGAGGCTCCGCCGAGCTCATCATGCGGCGAGTCTTTGTCATGGTCAAGCGATGCTGGCGCTGCTTCGTGGGCGAGGGTGTTGGTCTTGTCGCTCAGTGCACGATCCCGACGTGGGTGATCTGTGCTCGAGGAGGCTGGACGTGTGGAAGCTTGGTCAGGCAAGGAGGCGTTGGAGACGGGCTGTTTGGTGCTGGTGTTGCTGGTGGTGAGGAGGGCAGGACCCGAGGGGCCCGGGTGGCTGAAGCGGCTGCTCTTGCGCTTCTTCTTGTTGTTGCCCAGATGTGCGGCCTGGCAGGCGTCAAAGTCGAGGCAGTCTTGATCGACTTGGGCGTCGTCGTCCGAGTCGAGCTCGTGGTGGTGCGAGTCGACGCTGTCCGTGTCCGCCCCCGCAGTGGGAGCGAAGGATTTGTCGAAAGTGGCACCGGGAGCAGGAAGACCGCCGAGGATGGTGCGGCGGTCAGCGTCTTTGCGTGTGGGGTTGATTGTAGCCGAGGGGTTGCCGACGAGTGGGAGGGCGCGACGGTTGAAGGCGGAGAGGCGTTCGGGAGCGGCCTCCTGGCTCCAGAGCAGGATAAAGTGTGCAGCACGCTGGCGGTAGTGGTAGCTCTCGTCGGTCAGTTTGGACGGAAGGGTAGGGAAGCGAAAGGCGGCCGTCGTGGCCGAGGTGTCGGCGAGGTGGTGAGAAGCGTGCGGCGACTTGTGAGAGGACGGATGGTGGCTTGGCTGGACGCTGAGCTGTTGGAATTGACTCGAGAGAGCATGCGGGTCTGTAGGCGGAGCACGGCCATGATTGGATGCGGCTGCTGCACCGTTGGAGAGGCGCTCTGGCGTCTTTGGAGATGCATGAGAAGGCGTGCTGGACGATGCTGTCTCCTCGTCGGCGACCAGGTGTGGGAGGGCGGTTGGGACGGCTGGGAATGCCGAGGGACGTGTTGACGCAGAAGACTGTGACTTTCTTGTAGGCATGGCACGGATCTCGCGGCGAGGATCAGGAATGGGCAGGCCTGACGTGGCTGAGAAGGTGGGCGACGAGCAGGATCGGAGCGTGGCGTCGGGTGAAGCTGGTGGATCCGCATAATCCGGCGAGCGTTCCTGATTCCATGATGTCTCGTAGGTCATGAAGCGATGGAAGAGCTCGAGGCTTAGGTCGTGGTGCTGCGCCGGTGACAAGGTGGAGTGCAGTGGCGGGCGGTGAGCCGCTGCGTGTGCGGTGGACGGCATGGTGCCTGTATCCTAGCCTGAGGAGCGGGGGTGTGGGGGTTTCTAGGAGGTGTGTCGCATGTTGCTGTGCGGTGTGTTAGGCGGCCGAGAGCGATCCAGGTGGGTGAGGTGGTGAAAGCAGAAGACGACGCAGAGCGAGCGGCGCGTGGCGGTTGATGCGATCGAAGACGGCGATGTGCTGAAGGTGGATGAGGTGACGAGGACAAAGGGCTGGCTGGCACAGGTCGAAGCTAGAAAGTGTGACTGCGCATGTGTGTCGAAATCCAATCACCAACTCAACAGCTTAGGCAAAGCGGCGTGGCTGCCGTCCCACTTTGCGCTGCACTTTACGCTGGCTGCACTTGACACTTTGCTCGCTCTGGCACACCCACTGGACAGCGCACTAAATTGCCCGTTCGGCCCGATGCAAAGACCAGGAGCTTTGGGGACGGCCTTCCATCCTCCAACGAGGCTCCACTCAGCGCCAAACCGACCGACCCACCGACCAAGCAACCCAGCGGCCGGTGCATGTGTGTGTGCTGAGCCCCCGACCAACACTTTTCTTTTCCGCAAAACGCTTTTTTATCGGAGACCAACACACCGAGCCGAGAAATGGCGGATCGGGCAGATTAGCGATGCCTCGCCGAGGCTCTTGCTCTGTCACGTCCGAGAGGACATCGTGCAAATGGAAGTTGGGCAAGTCCTGACGGCATCGGATGGGTGCCGTCTGCAATTCGGCCGGCTGGCAGAAGCTCAGCATAGTGCCGCTGCAGGTCTCTCTAACCGGTATGACTGCAGCGAATCTATGCTAGTGTGACGGCCGGCTCTTGTACGGTTGGCCGAGCCAAGAGCTGTGAGGGCGAAAATCGCGCAGACCGGCGAAAATCGCGCAAAGTTCCGGCTCGGCTCCTTTTTTGATCGCTTGAGAAAGGCGCCGGCAGGGTCCCTTCCTTTTTCGGCAAGCCGGAACCTCTCATATAATAAAGGCAGATGCTGCTCCAAGACCGGAACGCAATCGCCTCCCTCAAAGGCCCCTCGTACCAGTCACTCAGCAGCGTCGAATCGCGCGCCTCGCTCGCAGCATCCCATCATGGCATGCAGTCAAGCTGAGCGACAGCCGCTGCTTAGCCATGACGAGCGCCGCGCCCTTCCCACGCCATACCGCTCCATCGATAATGGCACTTTGGACGATTCGGATCAGCCGCTCATCACACGGCGAGACCATGCAGCTGCGGTCTCCTCGCACAATCTTGCCCGCTCGAGCCGTCACGCCTCGACGCTCACCGTCAGAGTCTACGCGGTCTGCCCAGACATCCACTGCCCCTCGTGCATCTCGCACCTCTCCAGCCTGGTCGCCAGCCTCGACATCCATCCGGCCTGCCGTATCGCCATCTCTAACGCAGACACCTCACTCATCCACCGCACCGTCACCATCGACCTTGAGGTGGCACCCTCCGACTCGGAGGATGGCGCACATGCTCCGCAAGGCTCTCATGGCCCCGCACGAGCGGCGGCAAAGCGTCTGCGGCGCGTCCTCGAGGAGCTTGCCAGGATTCTCGCACAGGACGGCTTCTCCGTCGATCACATGCGCTCCAAAGTCATTGCAGATTCCGGGGCAGACTACGCCTACAAGCAGGGCTTGAACCAAATGCTCGACGCGTCGGATCTCTACCGACACTCCGAGACGAGCGCCGCAGCCTCGAGTCTGCCAGACACTGTCAACGCATCGATAAAGGGCAGCTCCATGCTCGGCGCGCTGCCAGCCTCGCTCGGCAATACGCTCCGATCCGCCTGGTCCCGTACTGCTGCTGACGATACCGAGTCGGCGCGCATACATCACGAGCGATGGCGCAGACACGTCCAGGTCTGCCGCGCCTGCCGGGACGGCGACGCCGATCACGCTTCTCCACTGGAAGATGCCACTTCGCTCTCGCAGCAGCAAAATGACGACGAGCCCAAAGATGCAGACGACTCTCATCGCCGAGTGGTCGCCGTGCTTTCGATCACCGGCATGACTTGCGCGTCGTGCGCCCAATCCATCACCAACGCCGTTCGCGCCCAAGCATCCCACCAAGTCGACTCGATCAAAGTCGACGTCCTCTCTGCCTCGGCCACCGTCACTGCCCATCCATCCGCACTGCCCTCCATCATCGAGGCGATCGACGATGCCGGTTTCGAAGCGCATCTAGTAAAGTCCGAGCCCGTGCGCTCGTCTTCACCCGACCGCCAGCGCGACGAGTCGGACGGGCACACCTGGAGGGCCAAGCTCGCCATCCACGGCATGACGTGTGCGAGCTGTGTGCAGAGTGTGAGCTCGGCGCTGCAGTCGCACGCGGACGAGACCAACGCCGCCCACGCGGTCCAGATCGTCACCACTTCGGTCGACCTCATGTCCAAGTCGGCCGACGTCGTCCTCTCGGCCCCCGACAAGACCCAGGCCGAAGCTCGGCTTGGCGAGCTGGTGGCTCAGGTGCAAGACGTCGGATTCGAGGCTGAACTGCTCACGCTTCAGCCCGAGTCCGGCAAAGCCCGCGCGGCTTCCGACGGGGCTGTGTTTCGACACGTGCGCATCGAGGTGCAAGGCATGTTCTGCCAGAGCTGCGTGGCCAAGGTGCGCAGCTACTTCAGCCGTCTCCGCACCGCGCGCGCCTCGGACATCGACGTCGCCGACGACGATCTCGACGGCTTCACGCTCGCGCAGCCGCTGCTCAGCTTCAGCTACCGCTCGGGCGCGCCATCCCGCCTCCGTCTGCGCACCATCCTCGACGAGGTCAACTCGCTCGACCCAACATTCTCCGCGCGCTACGCGCCGCCGCCCTCGCTTGCCTCGCGCTCGGCGGTGCTCGCAAGGGCAGAGCTGCGCGACCTCCTCATTCGCCTCGCCATCACGGCTGTCTTTGCCCTGCCGGCGCTGGCTATATCGATGATCGCGCCGCTGCTTTCGCCACACAGTGCGCTGCGGCGGTGGACGGCGGCGTACGTGGTGGGCAGGGCGACGCGGGGCGAGGTGGCAATGTGGCTCATCGCCACGCCCGTGCAGTTCGGCGTCGGTGCGCTGTTTCTCGCCAAGGCGTGGCGCAGTGTGTCGGCCATGTGGAAGCGGCGTCGCTCGTGGACGGACCGCTTCCTGCGCTTCGGCAACATGGATGTGCTCGTTGCGCTCGGCACGCTCGTCGCATACACCTCGTCGCTCGTCCTGCTCGGCCTGGACGCGCTGCGCACCCCGCAGCCCGCGGACGAAGCGCAGATGGACATGACGTACTTTGAGGTGTCGGTGTTCCTCGTGCTCTTCATCCTGCTCGGCCGCGTGCTCGAGGCGGTGACCAAGCGCAAGACGGGCGATGCCGTCGCCGAGCTCGGCCGCATGAAGCCTCGCACCGCCCAGCTCGTGCTCGATCCGTCCGAGCCGGCGCGCAGCCGCACAGAGCAGGTCGACGTAGACTTGCTCGATGTGGGCGATCTCGTGCTCGTTCCGCACGGCGCATCGCCGCCGCTCGACGGTGTCGTGCTGGGCACCGCAGCCACGCCGCTGTTCGACGAGAGCAGTCTTTCGGGCGAGGCGCGGCCCGTGGCCAAGCAGGTTGGCGAACAGGTCTACGCGGGCACACTCAATGTTTCGCACGCCGCCGTGGTGGTCCAGGTGCGCGTGGTGCCGGGCGCATGCGTGATCGACGAAATTCTCGACGTCGTGCACGAGGCCGCGGGCAAGAAGGCGCGCATCGCCCAGCTCGCCGACGCGATCACCGGCGTCTTTGTCCCCGCTATCGTCTACGTCTCGCTCGCGGTGCTGGCGGTGTGGTGCACCCTGCTGTACTCGGACATCCTCGGGGAGGACTGGCAGAGGAGGCATGTGGAGCACTATGGTGAGCCGGGAGCGAGGTTCGTGTATGCGCTCCAGTTCGCCATTGCGTGCCTGCTCGTGGCGTGTCCGTGCGGCATCGGGCTCGCGGCGCCCACGTCGCAGCTTGCGGGCATCGGGCTGGCGTCCCAGCACGGCATCCTCGTCAACGGTGGCGGCGAAGCATTCCGGGCCGCCAGCACGGCGGCTGACAGCGCCGGCCAGCTCGTGGTGGTGTTCGACAAGACCGGCACCATCACCAAAGGCGATGCGATCGGCGTGGCCGATTATCGCTTTGCTGCTGCGCAGGACGAAGAGCTGCAAGAGGCGCAGCTGCTGCACTGCATCGAGCTGGTGGAGCAGGCCAGCACGCATCCGTACGCGCGTGCCGTGCGTGCCTGGATCGCCGAGCGTCCCAGCGCGACTCCATCCCTGCCGTCGCAGTACAATCTGGAGGACGTGGTGGAGGTGCCGGGCAAAGGATTGCGCGCGACGTTCCGCCAAACTTTCGAGGTCGACGGAGCGGCAAAGTCGTTCGTACTGCTGGTGGGCAACCGCGCCCTGATGCGGGAGCTGGGCGCCGAGACGCCGGATGCACACATCGCCGACGCCGAGCGCGGCTGGTCGGCTGCATCGCACAGCGTAGTCTACACCGGTGTGCGATGGTCTTCGTCCGCACAAGGTGCGGTGGCACTGGCGCTGGCCATGAGCGACGAGATCCGACACGAAGCCGCATGGGTGATCGCCCACCTCTCGTCGCGCTACGCCGCCGAGGTGTGGATGGTGACGGGCGACAACTCGGGCACGGCATGCAGTGTGGCTGCGCAAGTGGGCATCCCGGCCTCGCGCGTGGTTGCCGGCGTCCTACCCATCGACAAGAAGACGTGGGTGGAACGACTTTCCTCCGCTGACCCCGAGTCCTCGCTCCCCACACGCCAGCGGCGGTGGTTGGGCGCTGCCCGCGGTCGAACGGTGCTCTTCGTGGGCGACGGTATCAACGACTCGCCCGCGCTGAGCGCCGCGAGTGTCGGCGTGGCACTGGGGTCCGGAAGCAGCATCGCACACTCGTCGGCCGACTTTATCCTGCTCGCACGCACCGCACCGCTGCTCTCCATCCCCGTGCTGCTGCAGCTCTCGCGCGCAACCCACCGCAAAGTCACCTCCAACTTCGCCTGGGCCTTCGTGTTTAACCTGGTGCTCATCCCTGTTGCAGCAGGTGCGCTGGTGGGGTTGGGAGTGACCATGGGCCCCGAGCTCAGTGGTCTCGCCATGGCGTTTAGCAGCACCAGTGTGGTTCTCAACAGCCTCAGCCTGCGCACCTGGCGGCCTAGTAAGCAGCTCGCAAAGCAGTTGGAGCACAAGTAGAAACCAGCACGAGAAATGCAGTTGCGTCTAGCGGGGGAGGGAGGTGGGGATGGCGTTGTAGCGCGTGCGCGTGATGGCAGCCGCGATGCGGTCGGCTGTCGAATGCACCAGCTGCGTGAGGTGCGTCTTTGTACGTTCGATCCCGCCGAGCTTCCACACGCCGCACGCGCCGGCGGCAGCAGCAATGAGCAGCAGCAGGAAGAAGAACGAGCCCGTGTTGTTGCCCACACTCGCCCCCTGCGAGCCCGACGACGACGCCGCTTCCACGGCCGGCTTTGCTGCAGCAGCAGCGGGGCTAGCAGCGGCTGCGGCAGGAGAGGGCGACGATGGTTGAACCACCTGCATAGATGTCACACACAGAAGCAAAGATCGTTTAATACGTCTTGTCTTCATTTAAAAAGACCCGAAGCGTTGTGGCGAAAGAAGGGAAGGACATACAGCTTTGCATGCGGAACTTGTCCAATGGGAGCAGGTCGCTCCAACAAGTCCCTGCGATGCTTGTAGGAGTGGGGGAGAGGGGGGGATCTAGAGTTCGTCCTTCACCTTTTCTTCGCCACCGGCGGCAGGCAGTTCACCTGCGTCCTTGACGATGACGTCGCTGCTCGGCTTGTCGCCGTAGCCCTTGGGGACGTTCTCGATGTACTTGACGATATCCATTCCATCGATCACCTTTCCGAAAACTTTACAACCCAAAATCATTCCTGATCAGCATGTCTCTCCTCTTTTCTATTTTGGACGGTTTGGTACTTACCGACGTGAACATTATCCAACCAGCTGGTCTTGACGGTGCAGATGAAGAACTGTGCGCCGTTGGTGTTGGGTCCGGCGTTAGCCATGGACAGAATACCGGGCCCGGTGTGCTTGAGCTTGAAGTTTTCGTCGTCGAACTTGCCGCCGTAGATGCTGTAGCCGCCCCGACCATCGCCGCGCTCAAAGTCACCGCCCTGGATCATAAAGTTGGCGATGACACGGTGGAATTTGGATCCCTTGTAGCCGAAACCCTTCTCGCCCGTGGCGAGGGCGCGGAAGTTCTCAGCGGTCTTGGGCACGTCGTTTCCAAATAGACCGAGCGTGATGCGGCCGACGTCCTTGCCATCGTGCGCAATGTCAAAGTACACCTTGTGCGTCACAACGGGCTCGGAAGAAGAGGCGAGGACGACGCCGAGCGCCGCAATCAGGAAGACGACAAAGTTGAAGAGCACCTTCATCTTGATAGTGCGGCAGGTGGTGGTTGGAGAGAAATGCAGAAGCGGCAACCGTGCACGGACACATCGCCTCGGGGCCAAAGACCAGCTCACTCACGCGCGCGTGCGGCCCGCAGTGCGGTACTCCTCTTTTCTTCCAACTCACCCACCAAAAGTCTCACGAATCGCTTCTTCTCGCGCGGTAAAACCCGCCCAAACTCGCCCCACACCGCATAGCTCAAGTCCCACACATAGGCACCACCACATCACACTCGCAACACCGTCTGCGAATAAACATGCATGGAATCGTCATGCTTGATCGGATCTAGTCGGACTCATCGCCGCTGCTCTCGTAGATGGCACGCTCGTCCAGCGCCGCATCCGCATCGTCGTCGTCGCCAAAGTCCTGGCTGCGATCGTCCCAGCTGCCATGTCCGTGCAGACTGCGCAGTCGGTGGTGCAGCGGCGCTGTGCCAAAGCTCGCCCTGTGTGTGCCGCGCGCGACGCCTTCCGAGTGGGTTGCCGCCGAGAGGAAGGGCATCTGTGCCTGCGCCTCGTCCTCTCCATTCGCGTCCGCATCGCCTTCCGCTCGGCCATGGCTTCGATCGAGCCATTCACGCACCGCACGGTCCGAGATCTCCTCGCCCCCGTCGCGCCCGCCGTCCGGACGCGAGCCCGTACCTTGCGTATCGATGAGGTAGCGCGAGTAGGTCGGGTACGGCTTGGGCCGCTTTGCGCCCTCCCGGGGCGAGGGTGCATCGCCGACGCTGTTGGGCGTGCCCACCGCCGAGTCGAGCAGCACCCCAGCCATGCCGCCCGCCACCTTGGTCAGGCCAGCCACGTCCTTGCTCGTAAAGAAGTCCTCGCCGTCCGTGTCGGAGGGCAGCGAGGCGATGCTCCTCGGCGCCTCGTCGCCGCTCGCGCGGCGTGCCGCCTCGTGCGACCGGCGTGCGCTCTCACCGCTCGTGCGCGAGCCGTCGAGCGTAGGCAGCGGATGCACCTTGGCACCGGGCGAGCGCGCGCCCTTGCCGTTGCTCGCGCGTGCAGCGCGGCGGCACGCCTTGCGCCCTTCCTCGATCGCGCGCTCGAGGCGCACGCGGTTCTCGATCATGTGCAGCTTGGGAAAGGTGACGCTCTGGCCGACGCGCATCATGCGCGCCAGCTCCTTGCGGTCCGGATCGGACAGGATGCGCACCCAGTCCCACGCGCGCGTCTTGGGCAGGATAGTCACCGCGCCGCCAAAGCGCTGCAGGAACACGCTCGACCAGTCCTGGCCGAGGATGGCGGGCAGCAGATCGAGGTCGCGCAGGATCTTAAAGTTCATCGAGAGGTTGAGTTTGAGGATGCGCTCCGAGGCCGAGAGGATGAAGCCGCCGCGCCAGCCCTTGCCCTTGCGGTGTGCAGTCGGGCGGCCGGGCGAGCCCTTGGAGCCAAAGTGGAAGAGGTGCACGTGCGGGTTGACCTGGCTGACGATGGGGTAGTTGACGTTGAAGAGCGCGTGCAGGTCCTGCAGCGGGATGTCGACACGCAGACTGCCGTCCTTGAAGCGATGGCCCCAATTCCACGGCACGATCTCTCCCGTGCCCTTGCGCTTCTGCATGAGGCACACCGGGTTCATGATGCCCGGCACCGCCGCCGACGCGAGCAACGCGCTCCAGATGACGCAGTCGGGCGCCGTCATGTAGTTGAGCAGCTTGACGGGCGAGTGTCGGTCGGCGGGGATGACCGAGATGCAGAGCACCTTGCCCGTGCGCTCGTACGCCTCCTTGAACGTCATGCTGCCGCGCGTGAAGAAGCTCGCCTTTTCGGCCCACTGCACCGTGTCGAAGCGTGCGCCCGTCGCCCATGCGCGCCGACCCCACACCGAGAAGGGCTCCTCGCATGCGGTGATGCGGTCGGCGAGCGCGGGCACGAGCATGCGGCGCAGCTCGTCGTCGGTGCGCGTGCAGGTGAGCGCGGCGATGAGGCCGCCCGCCGAGGTGCCCGTGACGACCTTGGGGAGCAGATTGGCATCGAGCAGCGCGCGCACGACGCCAATGTGGTAGTAGCCGAAGCTGGCGCCGCCCGAGAGGCAGAGAGCGCTGCGGCCGAGGTTCTTGCTGACGGCGCGGTAGAAGCTGCGCTTGGTGTCGAGCGGGATCTTGTCGGTCTGCTGGATGTACTCGAGCGCGGTCTCGATCTCGGCGAGGTAGCTCTCCACGAGGTACTTGGTGCCGAGATAGGTCTCGGAGTAGAGGCGAAAGTTTTCGGTGCCGGCAAAGTTGTTGCGCAGGCAGAGGTCGAGCACGCCGAGCAGATTCTCGGCATCGTCCTTGTCGCGGAAGTTCTTGAGCGACGACTTGACTTTCTTGACGAGGATCCAGTCGTAGAAGCCGCTGCCGTCTTCGGTCTTCCACTTTTCGTAGCCGAGGAAGTCGTCCTGGGCGAGAGCGGCTTCCTTCCACTGCGCGTAGTCGGTGGCGCCACGCATGCGTTTGCGAAGCTGGCCCTTCTGGCCTCGCCAGGCTATTGAGTATTCGATGAGGTTGACGAGCTGACGAACGAGGACGTAGAGGAGGAACTCGAGGCTGATGACGATAAAGATAAAGATGAGAAGGGGCCAGCGCAGCGCGTGGAACACGAAGCCTTCGCGCACGCCCGAGTCGACGATGCCGCCCTTCTTTTGCTTGGACTTGCGCGAGATCTTTTGGTTGATGGGGGCAAAGTCGGAGGCGGCGGCGATCCTTCCTACTTTGCGCGGATTGGAGGCACGCGTTCCGGACGGCTCTGCCATGGCCGGCGACTTGGGCTCCGCCAAGGTAGCGGCGGCAGCTGGTGCCGGGGTGTTGTCTGCGGGCGAGGGCGACTTGGGCGTCTTGCCGTAGCCAAAGACGTTCCAGCTGGAGGATCCGGTGATCTGTGACGAGGATGTGGGCTGGTACTCCTGCTGGCCGAGGTCCTGTGCGAGAGCCTCGCGGAAAGCCTCGATGTGCTCGGACTCGACATAGTCTGCGGTGAGGAGCGGGTCGAGATCCTCCTCGTCGGGGCTGCGTGGGAAGAGGGTGGGTGAGAGGATGTTGCCTAGGCTGCGACGGCGCTTGGTCGCGGTCCTTAGTGTGGATGGCTGGGCATCTGTCGATTGCGCCGGGTTGCGATGGGATGCTGATGATGTGGCGGCGCTGGCTGCCTCTGCAATCGGATTGTCGTTGGACGCCGAGAGCGAGGCCGGGTCCGGCTGCTTGCGACGCTGAAAGATGGACGACATGCTACTGTCTATGGTGTAGAGCCGTAGGCGTGCGATTGCAGCATTCCGACGGGCGACGAAGGAGGATGATGTAGGGAGGATCGAAAGGAGCGTTGTAATGGTGTTGCTGATGATGATGGAGGCAGTGAGTGTGAATGTGGAGCAGCGAGCATGCAGGAGCGAGCATGCAGGAGCGAGGTCTCCACCGGCGCCTTCCCCAACAAAGTCCCAAAGAGGTGTGACAAGGGTCGTGCATTCCACTGCGTCATCGTGCCCCTGCGCTTTTTCACGCATCTCCAGCGGCAGCCGCAAGCCGCCTTTCTCGCAGCCAGATCGGGCAATCGTACCTCCGATTCAACCTAGGATTGCTCCACATGGCTCCAGCCTGGCTGCCAGGCCGAGGTTTTTTTCGCCCCAAACGAGGCCGAGGAGCTTTTCCCTCGAATTAAGGACGTTGGTGGACCCTTCCGAACACCACCACCTCGCTTTGGACTGCACACCATGGCCAAGGACAGCAAGGGCAAAGCTGCGGTTCGCAGCGGTGGCGCAGATTCTGCGCACACCGACTCGCCTTCGCGCAACACACAATCCAAGCGCAAGCGAACTGCGCCCTCGACATCGACCTCGAACGGCGCCTCGTCATCCAAACCCAAACCGCAACATGCGCACAAGAAGCCGCGAAACGACAAACCGCAGGCGTCGGCATCTTCTGGGCTTCCAGGCGCATCCAAGCTGAAGAGCTCGATCCGACAGACCAAGCGGCTGCTGGCCAAGCCCAACCTGGCGCCGGGCACCAAGATCGAGGCGGAGCGGCGGCTGCGTGCGCTCGAGGCGGATCTGGAGATGCAGTCGCGCCGGCAGGTGGAAAAGTCGCGCGCATCGCGCTACCACCGCATCAAGTTTGTCGAGCGCCAGAAACTGGTGCGTCGCATCGCGCGGTGCAAGCGCAACCTCGACGCGCTCGAGAGCGGCGCCTCGCTGCCGGACGACTCAGATTCCGACTCGGACGCAGAGGACCAGGCACGAGTCAAGAAGCAGGCGTCCAAGATGTCCAAATCGGACCTCGTCGATTCGCTCGAGCAGCTCAGGGAGCTGCTTCACTATGTGGTCCAGTATCCGCCCGATCTGCGTTATGTGGCGCTGTTTTCCAATGCCGACTCGGGCCCCGTGCCGCCCAATGCGAACGAGGACGACAAGAGCCGACAGAAGGCGTACGCCCACCTCGAGACGGTACGCAAGGCGATCCAGTCGCAGCAGCTCAGCAGCGAGCCCGAGGTAGAGCTGGCATCCAAGGATGGTCCGAGGTCCAAACTCGTCCGTGCCACCGCACAGGCTGGTGCGTCGGCGTCCACTTCGCGTGAGCAGGCGCCAAAAGTCAAGTCCAAGTCCAAGTCCAAATCGAAATCCAAGCCGGAGCAAGCGGTTGCAGACGACGAGAGCGCCGACGAGCAGGCGGAAGGTGTCAAGGGCGACGACTTTTTCGCCAACTCGGACGACGAAGAGTAGATCCCCCGCACACTCACCCACAGCACACTCACCCACAGCTGCAATCCACACTTTCTTCCGGGATTAAGAAATGGTATTGTGAGTCTTAAAGTGCGGCGGATTCAGAGTGTTCCTTGATCTGGTTTTCGCGCAGATGTGCCTCGAGTTCACGGATGGCTTCGCGGTCGGCACGGATGCCCTCTGGGCTGCGGCCGGAGGAGTTCCTTCGTCTTGCCCACTGGAGTCTGGCAGGATTTTCGGGTTGCACAGCGGGCCCGGACATGACGGCCTCATTGATATGCACCATCGTCGACTTTTCGGGTGCGGATTGTTCGAGGTCGTCAAACGCCGCATCGCGTTCGTTTCGGCGTGCGTCGGGGTCCCAGAATTCATGCACCTCGGTCTTGACCCCGTACGCCTGGGGGAGGATCTCGATCAGGTCTCCTTCGCGAATCTGGATGCTTGGAATCTCGTGTGGCTGCAAGCCCTGCAGATACGCAATCAGACAGCGCAGCACCGAAGACTGACCGATGATGAGCACATCATTGCGCGTACGTTCCAGCTCGAATATGATCGGCTCCAGTCGAACCGATAGGTCGTGGTACGACTCGGCACGCGGGAAGCGGTGCGAGTAGGGTTCGCGCAGCTTGCGCTCGTACTCGTCCGGAAAGCGTCGCCGAACCTCGTCCATGGTCATACCATCCACCACGCCCGGGTTCATCTCGCTCAACTGGCTGCGCTCGATCACCTTGTACCCTGCCTCGGCGAGCGGATACGCCGTGTGCGAAGAGCGCCGTCGCTGCGACGTCCATACTTCAAACGCCTTGCTGTCGGCTTCCATAAACTCGTCCTTGGATCCAGCAGCGGTGGGGCCATCGACGGGTGCAAGACCGGCCTTCTTGCGACGCAGATTCACCATGAAATGCGCAAGCTCGTCGGCATAGTCCCATCCGAGCGACGACAGATCGGCATCCGCCTTGTACAGATGCTCGACGAGCGCCTCTCCTGCGCGCACGAGATAGATGGTGCGCTGACGGTTGTGGATGTTCATCAGGAAGAACACGATGCGCGACTGGAGGTAGCCCTGGATGTTGTTGACCACCACCTGTTCACCGACGTTGATGAGCTTGATGTAAGGGAAGCTTGGATTCTCGATGGGCTCGTACGTCCTCTCGTGACCCGCGATGCGCGAGTAGTAGTTCTGCACCGCGCGCTCCGGGTCCCAGTTGACATAGTCCGGGCTGCTGAGTTTGACGCTGCGTACGTTGGCCTCGACCACGCGTGGATCGGTGCAGATGCTCTCGAGAAACATGACGTGCACACCCAGCTTTCCGTACTTTTCGCGGATGGCATAGCGACGCGCCTGGACGCCGTTGTTGGCATCGTACACGACGACCTGACCGCCCTGGTTGAAGAAAAAGTCGATGACCGTATCGTCAAAGTCGTCCAGGATGCGTTTGCGCAGCGCCTCGGTGTCGGCACTCTTGGGACCGGTGCTAAAGTAGTCGGGCGGGATCTTGTCGGCTCCACCCAGCACCTTGCGACGGTGATCGCCGAGCGAGAATACGCCCGACTTGACGCCGAGCCAGGTGAGGTAGCGCTCGATGGCGTGCGAGAGGTGCGTCTTGCCTCGTGCGGGGAGGCCGACGGTGGCGATGAGGATCTTGCCTGCGTGGTAGAGCTGGCCGGAAGCCGTGGTGTACAGCGGCGCCGCCATGGTTGCAGAGGGCCTGTATCAGGATGGTCGATGGAGGAGGTGGGGGTTCAAGGGATGCGCGGGGTAAAAGGATAATGATAGCGAGCGGGATGAAGGCGGAAGCGATGTTCAAATGTGGGCGCACAGGCCCGCAGCGAATCTGCGCCTCGGCAGAGAGTGTGGAGGCGCCTCGGATTTTCCCGCCGCGTTCCGGCGCCTTTTTTTGGTCACTCTCGCCCTCAACCGGGCACCTCATGGTTCAGTAGATATGACATGGGCGCAACACAAGCCGAATGAAAAGAGTGGGTATAGATTAAGCTCGTGACGACGACAACCATCCTGCATATGAAGCGACCTCGAAAAAATTTGCTCCGAGCGGCGATGGCTAGCTTGAAAACCTCTGTGTGAGTGCGATGAGTTTGCGGTTATCCGCCGCCCTTGCCTGGATGTAGGCGTCGAGGTCGTCGAAGGAGCGATCGCCCTCGTAGGTCTCTGCCCAGGTGCCGTCGCGGAAGAGCTCGATGGACGGGTATCCGAGGATGTTGTTGCGCGAGCACAGGTCGCCCTGCGCAATGCAGTTGACGCGCGCCATGTGGAAGTCCGACGAGTCCTCCAGGTGGCGTTCGGCGTCGGCGAGGTCGCGCCAGGTGGGTGCGAGCCTCTTGCAGTGCGGACAGTAGGGCGAGAAGAACTCGACGAGCCACATGCCCTTGTCGGTGCAGCTGGTAAAGTTGCCCTCGGTTAGTGAGAGGACGGCGGGGTCGTACGCGGGCATCGGACCGGCGAGGGAGACAGCGGCCAAGGTGGCGAGCAGCGCAAGAAGCGCGCTGAGCCAACGTATCAACAACGACATGGTCGGAGGGCTGTGTTGGTGATGTTGCGGGATGGGGCGACGGCCTGCGCGCGTTTGTTCGACGATGTGCGAATACGAGCCGGTCCAGCCGCGCTTCTTGTTCGAGATGGGGTTTAGAAGATCGTTTCCGTGATGGGTGGTGGTGGTGCGAAGGCAAAGAAGGAACAGCTTGCGGGCGCGATGATCATGGTCGAGCAGCAAGAAAAGAGCCAACAGGACGATGCCAGCAGATGTAGCCAATGGATGAATCTACAGTATCCCTCCTCGGCCCGCGGCAGAGTGCCAAGAGCTGCAAAGTGGTTCCTTGCGCGCCGCTTTTTGCTTTTTCTGTGTTCGATGGTCTGCTCTGCCGTTGCTTTCCTCTGCCGCTTTGGAACGTAGCCGCTGCCGAGCGTGCAAGCAGGAACACGAGGTGCAGGAACGCAGTGCGCATCAGCCTCCTCCATCGGCTGCTTGGCATTCGCATTGGGGCCACACACGACGCAAGGGGCTCGCGAACAAAGCGCCATCGTGCATGCTCAGCCGGTCGCGCTTCCCGAAAGAATGTCAGAGCGAATCCAACTCCAAAAATGCAGAATTCCAAACACGCTCGCGTCGGCAAAAAGCCAATCGGGCGCCGATCACGATCCAGCAAGTGTTGCACTGATTTTCGGCTCAGCAGCGCGCAACGGCCTTCTTACTCACAGACTGTGGTTGGCACGCTCAGCCAAAAGGTCAAGGCTGAGGCGGAGGCGGTTCCAACTGACTGAGCGTGGGTGAGCGTGTGAATAAGTCAACGCTCGCCATGGCCATCCCTTTCTTCTCTCATCCAATCCAACCGGTGGGTGGTTGTCCAGTCTCAGCCGCCTTCATCACCTCTTGCTCATCCCACCCGCGCCATCTCACTTGGTCTTCGCGCCGACACGCGTCCCACTCCAACCCACAAAAAGCGCACACG